TGCACTCCCACCTCCCCGTACATCCATCAATATGCTGCCCCAGGCACGTATACACAGCCACGCCGTGCTGGCGCTGGCTGCACGCTCTCGCGGGCTGTTTTCTTCGGCGACCTTTGATAATTTAAAGTGAGGATGTCGTGGGACTGTATTTCATCAATGTTTGGATATATATCCGTCTGTTGTCACCCTCAATTGATGACTTTGACCCAACAGAGGCCATATACTTTTGGAATTCGTATGCATCTCATTCTCGTAGACCACTGTACATTTCCACCAAAGCAAGTGTTCTTCAATCTTCAGATGTAGGGATAGGTTCATCCGCATCAACATCAGCACTCGGTGGGACTGAGGAAACTGAATCTGCTAAAGCTGATACACACGAAGACAGTGACAATGACAACATCAGTGATGTTGATTCAGTCACTGTCATTAACTCAGATAGTGGCAGCAGTAAACTGTTATGAGTCTGACTCAGATATTGAGTAATATTCTTGGCACTGTACAGTAATTTTCTTATTGTGTGCTTTATGCATGTCATGTTTTGAGGCTACTGGTCTCAGTGTACTGTTTGTAAAGGTTGTGACTTGACTGAAATAAAACATAATTTTGAACTTTTTGGGTTTATGATTCAAATAGTTTACATTTTTGGCAGGACCCACAACTTTCAAGCAGGACCAGCAACTTTTAAAAGTTGCCAGCATCTTCGGCATGTGAGCCCCACAGTGATCAGACATCAGGAAAGGAAATGCTTTATTTGCTACGCCAAAGGTTGCCCAAAAATCCTCCCTTGCGCGCACGATATAATATTCCTAACACCCTAGGAGCTAGGGCGCAATCGCGCGACATTAATATTTTTTTAAAGCAGCTCGCGACACCACCTTTTATGGTTATGTATATACAGTATATACTGTATTATAAACAGAACTTCGTTGGCGAGAAGGGAAACAGTTCGTACCTACGTTTCTTACCACGTAAAACAGTCGCAGAGCCCGGGCCGGCTACTTCACAAAACGAGCCTCAAGGCCACGCGTGACGCGGCGGCTTTTGATGTACACGATCGATCTCGTACTATATCCGGCCTGCGTAGCACACGCGGCCACATACACACACACACTTGCAGCGTCAAATAAACGCACACACTGGCCAACGTCATTAATCCATGTGGCCCTATGTCCTGGAACA